TGGGTTCTCTTTAATCCTAGAACTAGTTTTGAAAAGAACTATTTCTGCTGTTACTTGACCAAACAGATCCGATTAAGGTTTCTCCTGGGTTTCCTTTAATCCTAGAACTAGTTTTTAAAATAACTATTTCTGGAAAAATGTGGATCATTAATATTGTTCCCAGAAAGCGCAAATTGTGCTAGAAATTAAAAAGTTCACTGTATCTTTTGAGGAGGTTTGTTGAAATAATGAGTGAAATTGGTTTAACATAACTGTGTTGTGAATAATAACATAACAACACTGAAATAGACACAATCACTCAATCATACAAAAGGCAGTTTTATAGAGCAAAGAGAAAGAACAAGATTAAAATGTCATTTTGACATTTTAGCCTTGGTGCTGAATTGCTTCTATTGTTTAGTCTCACTCGTCGTAGAGCATCTGAACAGGCAAGTTGACGCGCTCAATAATCAAAGTAATAAATATTAAAACGAATATAAAAAGTGACACTTAAATGTTGTTATTTAATTGTGGACGATTGTAAGGCAATATTCAAATAATTAGTAAACAAGATCTAATGGATGGCACTAGCATAATTTTTTTAATAACTTCCAAGTTTCTAAACCGATCTTGATGAAAAGCTTCTAAAACCTACGAAAAAGGCTAAAAGAGGCTTTCGATCTCGATTTGCATAGAAAGGGCAAATGACTGGTTTTTTAAGCTAAGCTTATACTGCGATGAAGTTACTTCTTAAAAAAACAAACTCACCATCCCCGCAACTTCAAGTCATTAATCCGTAAACAATGTTGCAACTAGCAGCGTCAGCATAAATGCAACTGCCGGATAACATATGCACACTATTGACTAGTATATTAACTCCATGATTTAAACATAAGTTCTCAACGATAAGAAACCATATTTTTATTTGATCCCTAACAACCTCGTTTCCCTTTCCGAACAGAAGCCCGAGCATTATGGCCCAAAATATGACCTATCAAACTATAAAGAACCCATACCATTCGCAAGGACCATTATTATTTGATTATTAAAACTTACAAAATAATAAGTTAATTATTCAATATCACATCATCTCTATATATAAAACTGTTTGTCCTGACTGACTGATTGGTGATCAACGCACAGTCTAAACCGTAAGAGCTAGGAAGCTGAAATTTTCATTGTAGTTACCTTATGTGATGTAGGTGCACGTTAAGACGGGGTTTCGGGAATTCAACCCGCAAGTGTGGAAAAATCGCGAAAAACGGTTTCAAACTTATTTTCAAAGATCTTTGTTCAAATTCATTTGAGGGGTGTTTCACACTTTTAGGAAAATCCATTCCTCCTTGGTGGAAATGGAGGTCAAAGATTTGGTGGGTGACGTTTCGCGCTCAAATTCATTTCCAGAGATCTATAAAAAAATCATTTGAGATGTGTTTCACACTTTTCGTCGTATTCAAACTTCTTCGGGGGGAATGCGATTTAAAGATTTTTTGTGCGAAGTTTTAAGTTGTGTCCGATTTGCTTCAAACTTATTTTCAAAGCTCTACATAAGAACTTCATGAATACGGGTTTCAGCGATTTGGGAAATTCCACCCGTAACAGTGGTAAATTTGGAGGAAAACGTTTGTATGAAAGTTGTTTGTTAACCGTTTGATCAGTTTCAAAATCATTTTCAAAGCTTTTTGAGAACATTTATTTTATAACATACGTGCCACGGGCAAGGCAGGGTTGTACCCGCTAGTATAATATGAAGCATTAAAAAATACGATCGCACCATAGATTCTATGCAAACAGACGATTCTTTCTCTGATTCCATAAACATTTTAAGAACTTAACTCTCTTACAAAATAGAGTAGATCTACTCTTACCCACACGAGAGTAAAAAATAAGAGTTAATGGCCCCGGAACTTTTATAATGATGCTCAAACAATTAATGCATAACTAAACAAAAATGAAAACAGCATGCTTGAAATTTCGAAACAGCAAGCCAGTTTTCATGGCAAGATTATGATTTGATTCTAAAAAGTAACCGGCCACATAAATAACGAATCATTACAAATCTTCTAATACCCAAAATACAATTTATAAAGAATTTGCCTAAAAAATTAAACGAATTTGTAGGAACCTCTAAGTTTCTAGCCCACAGTGCCTCCTTGACGAATGTTTAAAAATATATAAAAACCTATATTGTACTGAAACGACTACAACAATCAACGCTTAAAAAAAAACCTTTTAAACGAAAAATATCAGCCTATGCGACGTTAAAAAAGGAGGTGTTATTTTTATATCACACATACACCAAATTTAAAGTTTTCTTTTGCGTCCATGATCTGCTCATTCACACACATTTGTATGCCTGTGTGTGTAGAGCTTGAAATTCAGAAATCGCAAAAAGTACAAATCTTGGAAATTGGCATAAATGCTTTTATACAAACTTGTGTAAGTGTGCGTGCATGGTCGGCCAAAAAAGGTAAAATATGCAAGAATTTGCATCGACGCGGAAAGATATCTGGGAAAACAATAAAGTTTTCAATACAACAACTTAATTTTCGACCGATCGTTTCTATGGCAGCTATATGATATTGTGGTCCGAATTTAATAGAATTTTGCGTATATATGAGACGCATAGTAAGACTAATAAATGCCGCGCTTGGTAAAGATATCTCAACAAACCGAAATTTGTTTCATACAAGAACCTACTTTTCGACCGATTGTTCCTATGCCAGCTATATAATCCAACCAGTTCCGACATATGAACTGCGTGCAACAGCAAGAGGGACTTCTGCAATGTTTCATAAGGATAGCTTTAAAACTGAGAGACTAGTTCGCATAGAAACAGACAGACGGACATGGCTATATGGGGTCGGAGAAGTCTCCTTTTATGCGTTACACATTTCGAGACAACTGTATAATACCCTCTGAAAGGGTATAAAAACAGCGATGACTTTCTATCCCACAAAGCATAAGCACAAAGTATCTCTAACTCTCTTTCTCACTTAGCAAGTGGGCGAATCTTGGACCCGAACAAAAATGAAGTCGCCGCTGGACCTGAACTACAGAAAATGAATGGTTAGTACTTTTTTTTAGCTGCCCCATCTATATATTGTATGGTTAGTGATAGAGCGGAACCTTCCCGTGGTAACTCGGAAACTAGGAGGAGAATTTCAGGACATGAATTCTTAAAGGTTCTGAGATCAATGCGTTCATGCATGCGAACGTTCGGATATGGCTAAATCGACTCAGAAAATATATACCTTATGGAGATACATTTGCACAAAACTATTACTTATTTTCAATGGGGCCAAATATTTTTGAAATAACGTATCCAAAAAAGTATCCAGGCACGTGCTAGTTTCAATCATTTCTGGCTAACGACTTCTGTTAATACCCACATTTTGTTAGACAAGCCTCACTAGAAATGCGTCACATTCAAATGTGGGGGGGTAACTCATCTTATTATTCAATTGTGTTTGATATGTGCAATCGGGTACTGTACATTTTAGCACTCGTAATTCTTTCAACTTGCTACATACAGTATGCGATTTTTTGTGTTTATTTGAATATAAATGTACCTAAAAGTGAGTATTTTTCCGATATTTTTTATTTATCAAAACCAACGATTTTCAACATATTAAACAGATCCAATAAGGAAGATAGGCTAGAGGCAAAGCCAGTAAGTGGTGGCCCCTGCAAAATTTCTGACCGAGATAAACGGAATATTTTTAGAAAAATTGAGGAAGCCACTAACAGCGTAATTCGTAATTGCGAAAACCGCAATATATTTTTCCAACAGTTAAGTTCGGAAAATTGTCAATGATGGTGTCGGGGAGTATGTTTCGAGCAAGGGTGTCGGAGATTTGACCTTCATTGAAAATACTATACAATATCAGATCATTTTACTGACACATCTCGTCAGGAGTGCACGGAAATTTATATTTTATAAGGGCAATAAGCCAATTTTTAAACTTTATCAGGAGAATAACCCGAAGCAAAAAGCTCATATGGCGAGGGTGTGGATGTTGAACAACTGTGGAAAGGTATTGGACACTCTACCGCAAAGTCCTGATATGAACCCAATAGAAAATGTGTGGATTTAAAAGCTGCTGTACTAAAGGAATGGCAGAAGATTCCAGATTCATACAAAACCTAATTGAATCAATGAAACGGCGAAGGCAGGATGTATGTGACGCTAACGGCAGCCACACAAAAGATTAAATAAAATATTTTACCTCTTTTTATATGTTATTTATTTAGTATTAAGGTTTCGCGTAAAAACACTCATAACTGCATACAATTTTAATGTTATAAGTTTTTTAAATCCAAAAAATGTTTAGATGTTATTTATTTTATTTTTATGCCGTTAAGTTCCAGGAAAAAAGAAAGAATCAAAATAAATTAGGTATGAAAAAAATACGCCATTTTAAGTACATTTATTTTTGAATAAACATAAAAAATTTGGTTTTTTTGTTTTAGTAAAAACGCTTTGTTTACATACTGTATGACCTTCACCCTCCTATCTACCCCATCCACTGAAATCGACATTCGTAACTTATTTGTTTATATTAGTTCATTAATACATGTCAATCCCTGGATTGGTCCTAACCAATCCGAAAGAGTACATATTGATAGTCTGATAGATAGATTAAATTAATACATTTTAAACAAAAAAAAATGCAACACTGAAAAAATCAGCTGGTTTCGTGAATAGACACAAAAGTATAATACTCTATATACTTAAGCTTATATAAATAGCATGCATATTTTAAGACGCAGAGGTTTCGTAGGTATAATTGTTTTGCTTTTTGTATGGCAATATCAAATGTAAGGACTAGTGAAAAAATCGATGACAGCTGTCAGTGTGCGTTTTAGCCAATTAACAAAGCGAGTTTAATTCAGGTATAAAGTTTCTTTTCGTATAGCTTAGAAGAATTAAACTAAAAATTAGTTTTAAATTGACATACATATTTGAAAATAAATATAAACACAATGTTCTGCCCCTTATGCTGGAACGTCACACTTACTTTTTAATAAACTTTGCATCATCGCTTGTTTGCATTGCTGTCGTAGAAACTTTGAAATACTTAATGAAGTAATCTAAAATTGTTTATTTTTGTTGCAACTTCTAGGTCGACGCCGCCTTTGCTGATTCGTGGTCTTGTTTTAGATATTGTGGTCATACGACTTATTCGGGAGACTGTTTAACTTTGAAAACCACGTAATATCATATATAAAATAATAATTATAATGAATAACAAATAGAATCAATACAAGTCCCAGTTACTCGGAAAACTAGTCGAACATTAAAGTCCACACATCCTTTCGATACGAGCATCGACAAAGATGTTAGTGATGAGCGATATTTAATGAAATAGTATTTAAAAGTAACTAGTTCCTGTTGTTAGCAATAACAAAAGTAATGTCAATTTACACTGAGTACATTTACGGGGAACGAATGAAATTTATTGCAGATGTAAAATTTCTGTTCCCATTGGCCACATTGAACATCTAACATCGTTATAAATGACAGACATTCAAAAAGTTGTGAATGTTGTGTTGACGGTGCAGGTATTGCTAAAGAGCAAAAATGTTTATTGGAAAAACTGGTTGATGATGAATTTTTTACTTTAAGTCTCAATGTGTACATGCCACGAAGTGTTTGGATGCTTGTAAGTGCTAATTAAATTTTGCAAGCCAGCCAATTAATAACACAAGTCATGGTTTCATATATTATAGAAGCCGTTTGTAGTAATCTGGGTAAAGGAAGTGCCCGAAAATGATAAACATTTAACAAGCTTTCGTGTAGAGAAGTCTTCATTTTCAATGAGTACAAATCGGCTTCATGTCCATGAAAAGAAAAATAGCCATAACGCCCAACAGGGTCTGCAATATTCTGCATGAGTTTTGTAAGGCTGAATTTTCAGCAGAATAAAATCCATAAGTTCAAAGTGGTTTGGTTTCCATTTCCATCTAGATGCCATGGTTAAGTAGACATTGCACACTATAAACATAAATTTATATATATATGTATATATATATATATACACTATAAACATAAATTTATATATATAAATTTATATATATAATTTATATATATAAACATAAATTTATATATATATGTATATATATATATATATACATATATATATAAATTTATGTATATAGTGTGCAATGTCTACTTAACCATGGCATCTAGATGGAAATGGAAACCAAACCACTTTGAACTTATGGATTTTATTTCATTTTCAAAGCTTTTTGAGAACATTTATATGATTTTGAAACTGATCGGACGGTTAATAGCCTCTGCCCACTGAACACATTTCTGAAAATGTCACATTTTTGCAAAATGTGTAAAATGCGGCCTGTACGTTTCCCCATAAGAAAACACATTTCACACATTTTTCAAAAATGTCACATTTTTTAAAAATGTGTAAATTCGCCCCGAACATTTCGTGTATTTTGCGATGATTAATCGAGATTTCTATCGATGTTGTGAAAAATGTAAACATAAACCAGCTGATATTGCAACGAAGGCAAGCGGTAATTTTAAATTATAATTTTAAATTTTAATAATCCCACAGTTTTTAACATATAAAGTTGGCCATATCCCGCAAAGGGTCTATTAAACGGAGCCCCTACTTCGGGGCCGTATTATTTTACTTTTGGAAGGAAATCTGTGCGGCGCTTATGTAAATTAAAGCAACTCGATCAGCTGTTTATTTAAAGAAACAGTACTTTTGCCACTCACATGTTACCGAAAACCGGTGGAACACCAATATGTAAAGCTTGAAAATGTGACATTTTTAAGCCCAGTGGAGAAAGGCTATAACAAACAACTTTCATACAAACGTTTTCCGCCAATTTACCACTGTTACGGGTGGAATTTTCCAAATCGCGGAAGGCCGTATTCAATTTATTCTTATGTAGAGCTTTGAAAATAAGTTTAAAGCAAATCGGACACAACTTACACGTCTCAAATGAATTTTCATATAGATCTTTGGAAATGAATTTGAGCGCGAAACGTCACCCACCAAATCTTTGAACAAAAAACTTTCATACAACCGTTTTCCGCCAATTGACCACTGTTGCGGGTGGAATTTCTCAAATCGCTGAAAAACGTATTTATTAAGTTCTTATGTAGAGCTTTGAAAATAAGTTTAAAGCAAATCGGACACAACTTAAAACTTCGCCCAAAAAATATTTAAATCGCATTCCCCCCGAAGAAGTTTGAATTCTGCGAAAAGTGTGAAACACGTATCAAATGATTTTTCTTAAAGATCTTTGGAAACGAATTTGAGCGCGAAACGTCACCCACCAAATCTTTGACCTCCATTTTCACCAAGAAGGAACGGATTTTCATAAAAGTGTGAAACACCCCTCAAATGAATTTGAACAAAGATCTTTGAAAATAAGTTTGAGGCCGATCGGATGGTAAACAAAAAAGTTACATACAAACGTTTTTCGCGATTTTTCCACACTTGCGGGTGGAATTTCCCGAAAACCCGTCTTAACGTGCAACTACATCACATAAGGTAGCTACAGGGAAAATTGCATCTTTCTAGCTTTTACGGTTTGGGCTGTGCGTTGATCACCAATCAGTCAGTCAGTCAGCCAGTCAGTCAGTCAGTCAGGACAAACAGTTTTATATATAGAGATTATTTAGATGCTGCATTGAAATAAAGCAACTGACCATTAAAATTACAAAGGGTGGTATTCCTTAGTATTATTTGCTCTAGTGTATTTCCGGTAAGATATTAATATTTGGGAGGCGGCTACCCAGGTCAGCAACCCCACAGCCATTAGCTGGGGCAATGAGAACATTTTAATTATAATTTATCAAAAGCCAGAAAGGTTGAAAATGCTTTTGGCTATTTGAAGCAAAGATTTCGTCACATTGGAAACGGACTTGAAAATAACCAAAAAAAAAACCGTCGGCATTTTTAACGTGCTACATACTGCATAACATTTTTAATGTTCATAACAGCAGCACTGGCATTTGGGAAATTGGTCTTAACAAGGTGCGATGGTGTCAAAGCAATAATATGAATGGAGAAAAAAAAATAATATTTTAAGGCACAATGGTATTCTTTTTTAAATTTTAAAATAAATAGTTTCATATTATTCATTATTATTATTATGATCATCATTATTCATAGAAATTCCATCAGCTGCGACTGAAAATTTGCTGAAATGGACGCTATTTTATTTCGCGTTTCCTGTGTACTGTGTAATTTAAACCCTTCACGGGCAATGCTCATAAGCTCGGCTTGTTGGTTACCCTGTAGTATTGGATCAAAAAAAACGTACATTGTTATTACAACACAGTTGGCTTTGTGGATGTTTCGCCAAGCCTGGTTGGGTCCTCAGGTTTTATCGTCGACAACGAGGTCAGCAGCGGCTTTTTTGAATAAGGCTGCATCGTCACATTGGTAGTCGGGAGACTCTGGGTCGTCTCCTCTGTCGTGGTTGGAGGAGGTCCTTGAACGATCTTCTCTTAAGCCTCCTGACTACACACCTCCCAACGAGGTCTCTTGCTACCCGGTTGAGGTGTCATGCAAGCGTTCGTTGTACCGGTTGGCGAACGCTCCGACTCGGCTGTCTGTCTTCGACCTGTATACCGCGCCACCACGACGTTGTAAACTGCCGGTTTGCAACGAAGTGGCAATGGGCTGTTGGGGCTTAGTAGCCAGTTGGCCATCTTAAGGCGGGGCTGCTTGAGAAAGACGTCGATGAGCGCCCGAAAGCTAAGCTTCTTACCTAGTACAAGTCCAAGGTACTTGGCACTTCTGCCAGGATGAAGGGGGCTCCATCTATCCAGACTGCTGGAGCCAGGCACTTCGAAGCATTGATCTTGATGTTTCTCCTGCGTGCCCAGCTCTCAAGCAAGGGAATGTATTCCTGGGTCCCGTCACTGGCTTTGTGGCCATCAGGTGTTTGCCTGGGGTGGCAAACTTGTGTAGGTCATCCGAAGTGGGGATGTCTGCCGTGTACAAGTTGTGAAAGAAGCCTAGTACGCTGCCTTGAGGGATACCCGCCTTCATTTTGCGAACAGATTTGACTTCAAACTTTCGCTCCACTAGATAAGAGTGCAGAAGATAAGAGTGCGCATTGGAACATTTTGTTACAATCTTAAATAGTGAAATGGACAACAATGGATATAAGCTGACAAATCAAAACATAAGCGCAAGTGAGTGACTCGATCAAATGTAATATGATCTGCCACTTGACGGCCACCGTCTTATGCCGACTTACGGCATAAGCGCTGACCATGCATCCCACGGGCAATGAACGGGAGCGCTATGTACGTCAAGTACATAGCTGCACGCGCACTAATACTTTTATGCAAATATATATGCATGAGTACGCTCTCCCTCTCTGACTATGTTAGCTTTAACATAATTATGCCTAGTCCTGTCTTAATATGTCCAACGTGGTCAGACATAAACTAAAAGTGGCAAAGTAACTACAACGGCGAGGGAAAAATCATCAGCAGCAGCAAACATTTAAGACGCCGATGGAACAAATGCGCTGGACCATTTTTCACCCCGGCCTGTGCGATGACCTGCTCCGGCATCGCTGACCGCCTAAAGGCAGCCAACTAAGACGAAGAAGAAGCAGAGATTTAAATATAAACAAAAATAATATATAATTTTGAAGTAAATTAAAATTAAAACGTAAAAAAAATTTTTTTATTTTTTAATATTGTAATGACGCCCACTACGTTGTGCGCATCAAAATAGAGTATGACCTCACTTAACCTTACACTATATTAGGCAGGAAACAAAATATGTAAATAAAAAAAAAAAAATTATAATTCAAATGGATCTACTAAAGACGTATACAGTTGCAGAAGACCGACAACGCTGCCAAGAGCGTATCAACGAGCTAAGAAAAAAACTTCGCCAAAAAAGTGCGAAGTAACGCACAAGGGCTGCAGAAATGCGAATGCCTCACTTTGCCCTTTTTATAAGTTTTATCACAATTTAAAAGCACCCTTAAAGTTCAACTTGAAAAATACTATCCATACTGCGAAGTAACGCAAAAGGGCTGCAGAAATGCGAATGCCTCACTTTGCCCTTATTATAAGTTTTATCACAATTTAAAGCACCCTTAAAGTTCAACTTGAAAAATACTAGCCACTGTTAGGCTTCAACTAAAAACATATGATCGGACGTTTAATTGCATACATATAAATTGTGAGCCGATTATATGAAACATAACAACTAAATTTTCTACGTCTCTGGCGCTAGGTATTTCACCCAGCAGCAAAAACAAATGAAAAATAATTAATTAGTAAAAATTTACTTTGCTTTACGTATAATTTAATAATTTTG